GCTATCAGTTGTTTTGATTTGTTTTAAATCCAGATGGATATTCTGGTACGATTTGCAGACAGAAGTTTATTTTATCATACAACAATATATATATTTTTTTTCTTCTTTTTTTTCCCCAGAAATCTGTTATCACGTAAGACCCAAGATGTCTTGATTTCATTAAAACGCAGTAGCTCAGGAAGCCAAAGTACACACCCCAAGCAACACATCCTTGTATTTGTACAGACACAGAAGCAATCCTGAAAGCCACGTGGAGAAAGTGCCAGTCACTTGTCAAGTAACAAGTGCAAAATAGGTTGTGTGATCTCTACGTAAGGACAGATCTTTAACACTCCAGCAAAAAGCGCACTTGATTTTTCTTCAACTGGTGCATGTATTGTAAAGGTGATGAAGATCATCTCGGATTCAGAATCTTAAAATGAATGCCAAATTTTGAGTTTCAGTGGAGAAGTTAAGGCAAGCAGAAAAAGAGTTCACCACCGTGAACCTTGGGCTGAGTCCCAGGAAGTTGGATAGCTGCTTAAGGCAAGAGCGGCTGAATCATCTGTTCTGCCTGGAGATGGGGGTTTGTTGCTATCACCTATGCAGAGCACGGTACATCCCGGGCCTCCTCTTCGTAGACCAGACACTGTACACCAAGTGGTCAGAACCCAATAGTGTTGTGTTCCCTGCTGCCACCTTATCTTTCTGTGAATATAAGGGCACAAGTAAGGGTAGCAGATTACAAGTGATAGGCTCCGCAGAAGTGTGTTTTAAGAACATGGTGTTTCCTGTGCTGGCTGGGAATTAAGGCAGCATCCAGCTCCAAAGCAATATTGAAAACCTGAAACATGCAGACAGAACCACTGAAGTTCACCAAAAAGTAGGAGGCCATGCAGGAACTTACCTAGCTCTCTCTTCCAAAGCCGTAACAGAAAGCATCCAGCAATAACCCCTCAATACTGAGGACAGTCATATTTTAAGGGGCAAAACCAGCCAGACTTAACAGTCAGCACCAAAGCTCACCAAATCCTCAAAACACATCCATGCAGTCCTTAACTGCACAGTACATTTGCAAACAGCAGTAAGTGGAGGGTATACCCTCTTCCTCAGTCCATTCCCCTCCGAAGGCAAGGCAGGTGTTATCTGTCTGTCTTGTAACATGCAGTTACATCTTATCTCTTACTGGACAAAAAGAATTTGGATTTATTTTCAGAGCTATTTCTGGCTTTTTTTTAAAAAAAAAAAAAAACACGCCTCCTACATTTTCTTTACATTTCTTCTCCCACCAGATTTTGAAATACCAACTGAGAAAGCCTCATGCCTACTTTGCAATTCACCAAAATTAAACTAATAACACCTCCTGCTGTCATCTGTCAGTTAGAATAAGATTTGTAAGTGGCAGCAGAAATCACTTTCATAATGTTTGCTGGAATATGAATAGCCTTAACAGACAGATCCTTCAAATTTACTGTTCATATCAAGTGAAACCTGTCATGAAAACTAGAAACTCACCTTTATAAACTGAATTTGAAAGCCTGATAATCTAGAAATAGGAGACAAACTGGACGATAACATGTATTGTGCTGAAACTACATTCAGTGTGAGAAAGTGTGATTGTTCCAAGATGGGTTAATCTAATATTTTGCCTGTTGATTCCATCGTACATTACCTCCCAGAAATCCTCATTCTATACTTCACATTATCATTGCTTCCATCTTCTGTATGCAACTGCCCTGTTTTAGAGATCCTTAACACGTTTTTAGTTTTTACATGCGGATACAAACGTTTGGGGGGCTTCACAAAAAAAAAAAAAGTCCTTCCTTCCTTATTTTTTATCAGTGTGCTGTGCCATTAGCAAACATGATCTTTTCAACTATTTGAAGCCAAAGGTATGGAAAAACTAGCATTAGTGACAGTTATTTAAAAGTGAAGAAATTCAAATCTAAAAGACAAACCATTCTGAGTTAGATCAGTAATCCTTAATGCTTGTGAGAATACCCATCCTCTACATGAATCATGATAGATTCACTTTTCTTTTTCAAACAGGCAACAGTATCACCTCATGTCCGCTGCCCTCCTTGTTCTTCAATTAGATAACTTTGTAAGGAGAAATAAAAAAAGATGCTTTCAAGAGAAAACTCAACAGGTTTGAATAAAAAAAAAAATAGACCTACTTGAGACTGTTGCACACTATAGCAAGCCAGTAGGCAGAGCTAATCTTAGCTTTTTAGACACGATTAGATTTTATCTAATTTTTAATTAAAATACTCTACAGAGAAAGATCATTATCTCCCGAACAGCTTTTAACAAGTTTTATTATTATTCATTTTAAGACAAGTTGAGAATACTAAAGACTACAAATTTAAGAATATTGTTGCAATTTTATTGATCCTGTTTGAGAAAAGTAAGCATGCACTTGTAAAACAAAATCTGCTATAGATTCAAATAGTCTTTCCTTATTTCTCTCCTTATTTACATTTAAATGCCCTGGGCTAATCATGGCTGTTCATTATTCTGCATTAGATTAAATGTTGCTAACTGAAACCCGACTTCAACTCTGAGCAAAATGCGCATCCTCACATCCTTGTTGCACTAATGTTATTTTCTCTTTAAAACAGAAGAGAATGTATATTAAAATAAACAGTTCAAACACCGAAAAACATCACTGAGGTCACATTTCAGCGGTAAAGAATGCTCAGTGCCATTAATATTTAGTCTACCTTAATGGAAGAAATTTGAGTTAGAAGATACTTTAGGTTATCTTGTCCACCCTTATATGTCAAGGGAGACTTGCTTGCTATGGCATGTTATTGACTGCTTTGCCAAGTCCATTTTGAACTTGTCAGTTAATATTTGAGTTCCTAATTTTAAAATCTTAAGTGTTGGCAAAGCTATTTCTTCCAAAACATCTGTTTTTGAGGTGGCTTCAGCAGATCCAACCTACATTTCTTTCTTCTCAATATCTTCATCTTACGACTGTCTCCAGTTTATCATGCATCATGCTCTTCTTTTCCAAATAAACTCAAATAGGGAAGGGAAGGAAAAAAAAAAAAAAAAAAAAGCATGCAATTACCAGACCTCCATGACTGAGCTGCAGGACATTTACAAGCCTCTCAGCTTCCTGTTAAGCTCCCACAACATGGTTTAGAGGTTCTCTATTTTAACAGCTGATAGAAGTTCTCTGTATTGTGGTCAATGAAAGAGTCACTTTCTAAATGACATTCTAACATTAGACTGCAGAGCATTTTAATTGGTAGGATCACTCACAGATTATTAGCTGATTGCATATTGCACTAACGGGGACCTTTTGCTTAAATCATTATCTGTACATAATGCAATTTTGCAAGAAACCGATACACAGTTTACCCAATGCAAATGCGACACTAGTCTGTTTTCTGCTTTAAGTTCCCAAACACGACTGCTTAATATGCACTAGTGAGTCACTGTATGTGTGCATACACAGAATACAGCCACAATTCCCTTCAAATTTAGTTTTGTCTTGCATCGTTTTAGTTACCCACATCACAAACAGCATTTCTCTTTGAATGAATTGTAGTAGTAATGCTGCGATTCAGCACCGAGACAGCAATATTGACTGGGAAAAGCAGCAAGTGTCTGCATACAATACAGGATCCCTGTTTTCTTCAGATAACCCCACCTGGGTAGGTTACCATAGTGAACTGAAAGAGCAGCAATACACCCAATGATCAAACGGTGCTGTTCCAGACCGAAAATTTCACATTGAAGTGTACAAGTTTTTTTTCCTCACTGAATACAGTGACCACTTTTTCCACTGACACCGAGAGAGTTTCCATTCATTATGCCATAAGTATTAAAGTCCTAGTACATTGGAAGCTATTCCTGCTAAAAGAGCCAATAGTTTAAAGATACACAAGTTTACTTCTGTTGGAATTCACGATTTGTGGTGTTTGGAACAAATCCTTGAAAAGCTCCTACAAACAGGCAAAAAAAAAAATGGCACTGCCTATAGCTGTAGCTGCCACCTTCTGAATATACTGTATGATGAACCAAGGAGTTGGCAAGTCACCTAGCCAAGATCTTTTCAAGCACCTAAAAAACGCTATTTCAACTGAAATTCATTAGGACCCACGAGTGTTTTAAAGATGCAGCTTTTGGACAGGCGGGGGTTCTCCAAAGGCACGCTCTACTTCTCCCCCCAGCAGCAAGTCAAGGCTGCCAGGCACTAATGAGGCAAGATACGTTTCACAGGTACATTTGGCTCGGGACTTCACTTCCCAGAAGGGACAGGATTTCAATATTCACCTAGTCACCCCTCGAACGCTCTTAAGCCAGTGCAAACACATGCTCCAAGGGACAGTTTAAGATGAGGAATAAGGTATGGTCACCTGTTCCTTTTAAATAGACCTTGAGAAGAAAACCTCAGCACCTGAAGTTACAATTTTAAGAATACTGTATGCAATAGATATTTAAGGATTTCTGTAACGGGGATCTCGAAATGGCAAGAAAGAAGCCCCCGACATTTCGGTACTGTGCATCTTTCTTGCCCTCTCCCATCTTTAAAAAGTGAAACAGTAAAAAACCAACACATTTAAATATCAGTAAGGATTTATGTCGAGTGTGGAACACGCATAGCGCTGCACAGACTCCTCGTACAGCCGTGCAAACAGGCTGCCCCCCCCCCAGGCTAAAAACCCTGGGACAGACTCACCCACAGCTCCCGATCTCCCAACGCTCCTCCGGGCCCAGGCCGACCCCACGCACTCCCCCACGCCCCAGCACCCACTCCTCGCACCGCCGGCGCTCCCGAAGCCCACCTCTGCCCACCAGCTCTCCACCAGACCTTCCTCCCCCAATCCTTCCCACCACAGCCTTTTTCCGACGGGAGCCCGGGCGGGAAGCCCCGGGCAGGCGCCGGGGCGGACCCTCGCCCTCCCACCGCCCCGCTCCGTTCCACCGTGAGCGGCGAGCGCTCCCTCCGGCGCCGGGCAGCGGCCGGCCATCCCCCGGCGGAGGTTCCGGCCCGCTCCCGAACTCACGTGGTGCCACATCCAAAGGTTACACGCACCGCCGGGACCAGGATGACACCGCCGCCCCTAGATGCGCTTCCCACCGCCGAGCGGGGCGGCCCCCCGCCGCTCCACGCTCACCCGCGGCGCGACGCCCGCGGGGACTCGGCGCTGCCGGCTGCCGAAGGAGCGCCGCATCCCTGCCCCGGTCGATGAGCAGCCCGGCCGGCCATCGATAAATCAAAACAGCCCGCCCCGACGACGGAGAGCGGCGTACGACCCAGCCGCGGCCAAAAACACCGCCCCGGGGGCGCGGCGGGCGGGCGAGGGAGGAGGAGGCGGAGGAGGCGGCGGGGGAGGCTGCGCGGGTGCCGGGCTGCCGGCCCCCGCGGGGCGGCGGAGAAGCGCCCGGGATGTCGGTGTCGTGCAGCCGCAGCAGGCTAATCCCGGCTACTTAACCCGGCGGGCGGCGGGGGCCCAGCACCACCTTAATCCGCGGCGTGTGCGCGCCCGCCCGGGGCTGCGGGGCCACGGCGTGCCGGCCGTGCCCGCCCGGCCCTCCGGCTCCGCCGCGCCCGGTGGCCGCCGTTTCCCGCGGAGGCTCAGCCCCGCATCCGCTGCCCTCAAGGTCACGCCGCGCCCCGGCTGCGGGGCGGCCAGG